TTTTTTTTGCAAACACTTTTCATACTAGACACACTAGAAGCCGTTTCTTCAAAATCACCTCATTGGTTCTTCTCGTTCGTCCTCTCAATGGCACTGTACATATGAAACCTCACCCCCTGCCTCAATATTTCATACTCATGGGTGGTGCACTTGTCAACTCACCAGAAAAGTTAGGCTTCAAATCCAGCCAGAATGTACCTTGGAAGAGAGTCCAGGCAATCTAATTGGAAAATCAGCGATCGAAAACCCATGCAACACAGTTCTACTCTGACACACATGGGTGGACCATGAGTAAGAAATTGACCTGGATGGCAAGTGGTACAGGGTTTTGTTCCTAAAACTATTGACTGTTGTGCACATACTCTCGCTCTAGGTTGGGCCTTTGCTCTGAGAAGGTAGGACCTTGTCTCAATTTGTGTTGCCCTCAGAGTTCAGCATAATAATGTGCCTGAAATATGACCTACGTAATCATTTAGTGTTTGATAGGAGTCCAAAGCTGTGCTCATCAGGAAGGAAGGAAGGCACTTATTGAGTCCCCTCCATCAGCCACTGGGGAGGGGTGGGGGTGTCAAGAATGTTTAGGTTTTCTACCCCTGTAATGATTTATCATCTCAGAAACCCACAAGGGTGGTTCTGCTCGACATGTCCTACAGGGTTTCTGTGAGTCAGAAGCAACAAGATCACAATGAGTTTCGATGTGTATCAGTGCATTTAAGAAGTCCTGGTGGTATGGCCACTCGGAGGGAGCAAAGACCCAGCAGTCTGCTCTCAAAAAGGTAACAGTCTGGGAAATTCTAGGGGCCTGTCCTACGGTACCATTACGAGTCGGAATGAACTTCGAAGCGTACAACGGCTTAAAGCCTTAAGAACCCACTGGGTGACGAGGAAATTCAGGCTCCGAAAAGTGAACTACTCAAAGCACACAGTGATAAAGGGATTTGAATCCAGCTCTTTTCTAAATCTGAGATGCTGAAGATCACAACATCTATTCACACTGGAAGAGTATCCGTGGCACACGTACCTGCAGAACGGTGTTATGAGCCCTCATGAGCTCTTGTAAAATGCTGCTGGGAGACAGGCTGCTTATAATTTTAAAGTCTTCTTCCATTTTCTCAGTCAAAGCTACTTTGATGAAGGTGTTTTTATGCTTGTGTATGTAGTCACATACACGAGAGGAACTCTACAAGAACATAGTTTAGGAGAGGTTTGACATTGTATGCAACGGAATGAGGTGAGATTTTGTTCATTAAAAAAAAAGAAAGAGAGAAGTAGTTTATCCTGTTTTTAGGTACAAAAGAAGCCCCAAATATAATCTAAGGAGAACACTTATTAAACAAGACAAAGAGAACCCTAAAGTGATGTGACTGGTGGTTTCAAAATGAGAAAGAAAACACTGAAGGGTGAACCTCAGTGGATATTGGTGATGTTTACACAGCACTATTGATGTAACTGGACACCAAAAATTATAAATTTGAAAAATGTTGAATTGGCAACTGTTTAAATGTGTTGTAAATGTTCTCATAACAATAAAAAATTAATTAAAACCCAGAATGGATACAATTGTAGGTTTGCAACATGGGAGTTTGATTGTCCTAGATTGTGCAAATATTAAATCAGAAAAGAAGCAATGAAGTGCATTAGAAATTTGCCAAAGCTGGCTGGGTTTATTTGTATTATTTTCAAAAAGGCCTGTTTCCCTTAAAAAACAAATCAACCCCAAACCCATACTGCCAGCAAGTTGATTCTGATTGACAGTGACCCTCTAGGGCAGTGGTTCGCAACCTTCCTAATGCTGCGACCCTTTAATACAGTTCCTCAGGTTGCGATGACCCCCAACCATAAAATTATTTTTGTTGCTACTTCATAACTGTAATTTTGCTACTGTTACTAATTGGGTGATCCTTGTGAAAGGGTCATTCGACCCCCAAAGAGGTCACAACCCACAGGTTAAAAACCACTGCTCTATGGGGTTTCTGAGGTTGTAAATCTTTGTGGAAGTAAATAGCCCCATCTTTCTCCCACAGAGCAGTTGGTGGGTGTGAACTTGTGATGATCTTATTTCTTTGCAGTTAAAATAACAATTTTTCTTGGAAAATTGTTTGTCCTTAAGGAGATGTAAGAGGTTTTTCTTTCTCTCCCGTGTAATCTTCCTAGATAGCAATGATTCTTTTTCTTACCAGAATAATTTTCTATGCTCTTTAATCTCATCATTCCTGATTGCTAAGGTTTTGCAATAGGAAAGAACTAAAGCTCTTTATAATATCACTTTCTCTTTTTTCAACATTTTATTGTTATTGCAAAACTATGCGTTGTCTGTCCAAAGACAAACACCCGGCGCCTCCCCGCCCCCAAGGTTATGTGAAGCCATCTTTGGGCTATTTTCCAAAACTTTCACTGTCTTTTGGCTATTTTGCAACTCATATATTTACAACAGTTAATGGTAATTAACTCACAAATCATGCAAAATAATATAGTCTCTCTTCCCAACCTATAGTAAAATCAGTTTGCTAACTATTTCTGTCTTGGACGAAGTATGACCAGAGTGCTCCTTAAACATAAGGATGGCAAGACTCCATCTTGCATACTTTGGACATATCGGCAGGAGAGCTCAGTCCCTGGAAAAGGCCATCAGGCTTGGTCAAGTGGAGGGACAGCCAAGAAGAGGAAGGTCCTCAAGGGCATAAACTGACGCAGTGGCTGCAACAGTGGGGCAATTGCAAAGCGGGCGTGGGGTGGCGCACTGCTTTGTTCTGTTGTGTGCCAGGTTGTGATGAGTTGGCACCGACTGGATGGCACCCAACAACAAAAGTAAATATTCCTGGAGAAATGTGTGTGATCTTTGCATTTTCTTCTGGACTACTTATAATTTAGTCTGTTGGCTCCTTCAGTATGATTAAAATAACACAGGTTCATTTTATATCATATGGAAATTATGACTCTATCCTTTTCAGAAAAAAAAATGAACAATTCCCAACACAAAAGGGACCAAATCAAGGAGTGGAGAAGGCTATATATGATGAAGATTGTCACCAGTGAGGACATAAGTAAGTGGAAAGCACATAGGTGACTTCTCTAGACCAGATGGGACCACTGCCATTGAACTAGTAAATTCTGAGGCACAGAGGCCCTACAGACAGTAGAACTGTTCCCTAGGGTTCCAAAGCTGTACAATTTTATGGGTGCAGGCCACTTCATCTTTTTCCCATGGAGTAGCTGGTAGGTTCAAACTGCTGGCATTGCAGCCAGCAGTCCAATCACTAACAACCCCCCATCCCCCTAACCCCCCCTCCCCCCCCCACCCCCCCTGCCACCAGGCTCCTTGGTTTGCTCGGGGCTGAAAGAATTCAAGATACAGATTTATAGTTCTAAAACTGGGACAAGTTAATCACCTTAAAAGCACAGGCCTCTCGTAAAAAGATTCTTCTCACCTTCTGTCAATTTAATTTGGGAATTTTGGCCTGCTGTTACCTTATCAAAGGAACCCCCCTGGAGTAGGATTTACACATTGAGCCTGCTAACCACAAGGTCAGCAGTTTGAAGCCACCAGCTGCTCCTCTGGAGAAAGTCGAGGCTTTCTACTCCCATAAAGAGTTGCAGAATTGACTGAATGGCAGTGAATTTGGACTTTTTTTTAATTACCCAATCAAAACCAACAGATTAAAAACTCACTGTCATGGAGTCAATTCTGACTCAGACCGACCCAATAGAACAAGGGAGAGCAACGGAGAAGTGCCCTTACAGGCTGCAGAGAGTATAAATGTCTATGGAAGGGGGCAACTTCATCTCTCTCCCTTGGAGCAGCTGGTGGTTTCAAACTGCTGACCTTGTGGTTAGCAGCCCAATGTGTTACCCACTATGTTACCTTGGAAACGACTCCTCTGTTACTTTAGAAACCGTTTCATTGGTTGTTTTTGCTTCCCCCTCATCCCAGAAGCCATCTAATAGTTTGTAAATGGTGGCAATATTTAAAGACACAATATGTAAGAACACTTTGCACAGAAGTTCAAACTAGAACCACAAAAGCTCCCTTCCAGAAAGATGGGGCTTTCTGCTCCCCAAAAGGGTTATAGCCTCAGAAGTCCCCGGGGGCAGCACTACCCTGTCCTATCCTGTTGCTGTGAGTTGGAATTAATTTGATGGCAGTGAGTTTTGGTTTGGGTTTGGTTCGTGAAAGCAATTGTTCTCTAAAGCATCTTTTTATATTACTGTGAATTTTCTATCATAAATTTATTATCTACTTTCTAAAAATAAATGTACAACTGTAAAATCAAAATGAAACAATATAGTTTTAAAACTTAGAAATGAAACAAAACCAAGTAAATCTAAGCTTATATAAATTGGCAATATTGCCCTTTGCAGGAAGAATGTCTTTATGAAGACTTTAGAATAGTCTTTTCAAAAAAAGGTTTTTTGACTGTATATCTTTAGTGGTATAAAATCTAAGAACAAAAAGAATAACAGTGAATTTTAACCTTCACTCAATAATTTTACTTCTTGAACATTTTAAAAAACAAAATAAAGAACCACCTCAAACTCCCTGCCATCGAGCAGAGTCCGACTCACGGGGACACTGTAGGACAGGGTAGAACGGCCCCTGCGAGTTTCCAAGACTGCTACTCTTTACGGGAGGAGAGAGCCTCATCTCTCCTGCTGAGCGGACTGGTGTTTTTGAACCGTTGACATTGTGGTTAGCAGCCCAACGTGCAACCTGCTTCCTCACCAGGGCAACCTAGGAAACCGAGACCAGGGTGGTGGTGGAAGTGCTGGGAAGTAGCAATTAGGCTTGATGGGCACCTTTCTTGATCATTGGGGAGCATGTGTTAGCACCCTTCCCGGCTCGTGCCCCTGCTGAAGCCTGGGACCAGAGCCGCGGCCAGGACGCCCCGCCCGTGTGGTGTAATCTCCCACGCCTACGCCTCAGCACCCCGCCGATTGAACCAACTGGGTGCCATCAAGGTTGGCGGGGAGCTGCCCGGGCCACCCTCCCAAGCCCTGCTCACCAGCTGTCTCTGGAAAAGGCGCGGAGGAACCAGACACCTGGCGCCAGCGACGCCCGCATCTTGCCCAGCCGGTCCAGGTAGTGGCGAGCGCCGTGGAAAGCGGGTGCCGAGCAGCGAGTGACCCTACCGAAGTCGCCGGGCTTAAATGCCCCAATCGGTGCCCGCCCCGGCTGCGCCCGGCGTGCAGAGCCCCCGCCCCTTGCATCTGACCGCCCTCTGGGTCTGACTGAGCCGGAATGCGCTGCCCCATCCTCCCGGCAGTTCTCTAGCACCCCAGCTTCTGCGTGCTCTGCCTCGGGCCGCGGAACTGACGGCTCCCAGAGTGTCTGGGACTTTTTTTTTTCTCTCTTTGCCCTTGGGAGAATGGACAGCCATGATACCAGAAGTGATCGGTTCTATATGATGCCCCTGCCAGACAAGGTTACAAGGACCACCCAGTCTTCCTCCACATTGTATTGATCTGCATGCAGGTGTCCCTGGGGAGCAAATGGAGTTTTTTCAGGGCAGTAAAACATTAGCCCCAAACACACTTCCCAGGCCTCAGCAGGACTTCCTGTGCAGTTCAGACTGGAGAATCTATACCTACCCAGCCAGAAGTCACTACTACCTCTTCACAGAAGTCTGGCTCCCACGTGGCAATCATTCTCATTCTCCCAGGGGAGCCAAGCAGCAAGAGGAGCACTCTGCCGGAACTGCTTGGCAGGTAGGTTCGTGCTACCCAAGCTCTGGTAGAGGACTGTCTGACTTAAGGATATTTTGCATATGCTTCCAGCTGTAAACCAAAATATTATGAGAGCTGTCTAAATGGACACAGGGGTAAAGCTGCAAAAGGGTGGAGAGGGCAACATGTACCCGGAGAGCCAAACTGTTGATTAAACCAAAACACTTACTGCTGTCAAGTAGATTCAGACTTGTAGTGATCCTCTAGGACAGGGCAAAACAGCCCCTTGGGTTTCAGGAACTTTGCACTTTGCCAGGGTATACAGCCTGATCTGGCTCCGGCAGAGAAGACTGCCCTTGTGGTTAGCAGTGCATGCTAGTGCACCAAGGCCACCAGGGCTCCTCAAAGTTGTTCATAGAACGTAAAAGAGGAATGTGTCTGAGCAAATGGGCTTCAGCTCTAACCACGCCCTGACCCCAACTCCTGGGAGTGTCCAGGCCCGAAGTGCAAGGTCAAGGACGTGAGCCAACAGTTCCACCAAAACAAGTCAAGCCTCAGAATGATGGGTTTGGCTGGCCACAGCTCTGGAACCAAACAAAAAATGTTTAAATGGAGTTGTAAAACCATCTGTCCACAATGTCAGGCTCTCAGAGCTATAGGTCCAGTAGCAGAAATGAAGACACCAGGCCAGGGACAGAAGGGAAAGGGGAAGAGAGAAAGGATAAAAGGGGATTAGAAAGTAGGCATAATCACTAGGCTAGGGAAGGTATGTCAGGCTGGGACATCAGAAGAAGCAGGTGACAGCACTCACATAATTAGAACCATAATACAAGGGTGGGTCCAGAAGTATTGCTACTAGGATTCCAGTTCATACACAAAACCACAAAAAAAAAAAAATAACCAAAGCACCTCACTGTCATTGAGCCAATTCTGATTCATCACAACCCCTACAGGACAGGGTAGACCTGCTCCTGTGGGTTTTCAAGCAGGTAACGCTACCATACTGCCAGAGTAGAAAGCCTCTTGTCACACCGCCCCTTAACTGATGCTTTCAAACTGTTTAGCTTCAGGTTCACAGCTCAAAGGGGTAGCACACTATGTCACAGGGCTCCTTAGTTGATACACACACAGGCTTATTCTCAACAAAAATGTTTAAACATGTCTCTGAGATTAATGGATGGCAGTAGACAAATTCTCCTAGTAATATTTAGTCTTAGCCTCCTTATTGTTGTTAGATGCCTCTAGTTGATCCGACGCATACCAAGCCTCTGTACCACAGAGTGATACCTTGCCAGGCCCTGCACCTTCCTCACAATTGTTCCTGTGTTTCAGTTCCTGTGTCAATTCATCTTATTGAAAACCTTCCTTAATCTTCTTTTTGTATCAAAAAGAAAGTCCAGTAAAAACAGTGGCTTCTGAGAGGATCTGTTGGGCCAGTTGCACGCAAGGCGGATAGGTCATCGCAGAAGGTTATGGTGACTTTGGGACAACTCCAAAGGGATCATCTAGATAGGGTTTTCCTGAAGGACACAGGACAGACACAGGGCCTGAGTATTAGGAACGTGTTTTAAGAATGGAAAAATGCATTTGTCAGAAAATATTAATAAAAGCTAGAAAAGTTATACTGAAGAATATTTTTTTTCCACATGGGACGATGCACCTGCTCCTTCTTCAAGGCTGGCAAGGGCAGTCCTATAAGAATTGCTTGGGAAATCTTACCCCATCCAAACCACAGCTCTGACCTTGCCCATTCAGACTTCTTTTTGTTCCCCCAAACTCAAAGGGCCTTTAAAGAGGAACGTGGCTCAAACCCCTGAAAGATGCCAAGACTGCACTGTTGCCGTGGTGTAAATCAAAGGGCACAGAATTCTACGGAGAAGGGTCACGGGGCTGGAAACACCGCCTTCTCACCTGCATAGGACTCAGTGGAGGATCTATTGAAACATAACAGCTTCACATTCTGATCTTTTTGATTAAGAAACATTTTTATTAATTTGAAGTGTGGTTCCATGTGGACCTCTGCATTTCTCCTCAAATCCAACGACGCTGCCAGAGCAGAGGAACTGAAGGAAACCGGAATGAGGACCAGCGCGAAGCCACCCTGAAGGCAGACCAGAGAACCCGACTGAAGGCAGGTGGACTGGCCCCAAAGGCTGCCCCTTCATCCTAGCGGAAACCACAAGTCCCACTGAGCACTGTGCAGAAAAGGCTGCTTTGGCCACAGGAAGCGGAGCCATGGTGCTGGGAGACAAGCCAACTGTGGAATAGTGCCCCGGAGGTGTTGGTCTCCTCTATGTCGAGGGCCAGGAGGACGTGTGCTTCAGCATCTTCTGGGTCAAAGACTGAAGTACATGAAGACTCTAGTGACTCAGAAGTGGAGTGTGAGGCAAAAGATCATTTTCCCCTTTAGAAGAAGCCAGAAGATAAAGATGAGGAAATGGTTGACGTAAAAAACAATCCGCTTAAGAAAGAGATAATGAGAAATAGCAGTGAAGTCAAACTTTCAAAAGAGCAGCTTCAGAAGGATTTCAGCATGCCAGGGAGGGAGTACCTGCCTGGGCAGAGACTGCTAAATGGAAAACATTTTCAGATGATGGAAGGGAAGAGGATGAAGATGACTTGTTGCAAAGGACTGGGAATTTCATATCCACATCAGCTTCCCTTCCAAAAGGAATTCTGAAGATGAAGAATTCCAAAAGGAATTCTGAAGATGCCAAAATGCTAATGCCGAACTCATCAACAAAGACCGAAAAACTAATTGGTAGCATGAAATTGGTGAACGGGTAGCAGGATCCATGTTCACATAAAGAAATATACCTACTCAGGGGATGGGAAAATTTCAGTTTGGGATGTGAGCTTCAGGAAGTGTCTTGACAGATTTGCTGATGAAGACAGTTTACCTGGATTAAGCATTGGCACGCCTAGGAATGGTCAGTATGAGGATTGTGGTTCTAATTGTGGAGTGGTAAATATATACAATAAAGAATCTTGTCTCCAAGAAATAAACCTACAGTCGATAAAAGCTATCATAAACTTGGTTATAGGGTGACCTGTGTGACCTTCAATCCTGTTTCTGAAACTGGCATTTGATTCAGACAAAATGAAAAAAGCAGTCAGATAGGCTTACCTTCCTTCTTATACAATCTTTTCAAACTTTCCAGTTTTTAGAAGGAAGATTATTCATTTGTTCAAGCTATGGGTTTTTTCTGAGGCTGTGATGTATAAGCTGCACCATTACTCAGACATTTAAAGAGATTCTTTCAAATCCATTTGAACCAGAGAGAAACCCATCCTGATACATCTTTTTAGAATTTTTCCTGAATGTGTGGTAATATATATGCAAAGATACATTTTTGCCTACTGTGCTCACTTGCATTAACATAAATGTTTTAATAAACACATGACAAACTCTTATTTGAAAAGGAGAAATACTTTCACAATTTTATAGCAATATTTTAAAATTTACCCTCTTACATATCACACACTGCTCCTAAATGCCTGGTGTTTGAAAGTCAGTGAGGTAGAATTATCCCTCTGGGTAGGATGACTATATAATCCTGATTTGCTTGGAGAAATTCCAGGGGACACATGCTCTCAGAATATTTAGGGAGCCAGTAGACATCAAGGCTGAAAGAATTAGGGTGTGAAAAATAAACTAATGACATGCTATCAACATGAAAACACCTCCCTGTTTCAACAGACTAAAATAAAGGATAAAGTTGGAAATCAAATTAGGCAAGGAAACAGCTAAAGGGTCTTGATACTAAGCAGCAATGAGAGAGCATGGCAGGAGCAGCTAGACATCACTAGGAGAATGAAGAGACCACCTTCAGAGTGCCAGAGGTGCTAGTCAGAGTTGAGGAGTGTGAAATATCTGCCGTCCCATTTCTGAAAGAGTGAAACCAATGAATAAGGCTCATTACCATTCTCTGGAGAAGCTGTGTTTGTGGCTCTTAGGGGGCCATGCTTGCTCTGGAACCATCAGAGAGGCAGTAAGAATATATTCTTGTGGAGGTTCAGCTGTTTTTCATGAAGTGCCAACAAGTCTCTGGGAGCTGGGCCAATCCTGAAACAGTGTTTGCCTTGTCTCAGTTAAATCCTGTGCATTTTGGCCCTGTATTCTTGTTCAGGGGCCAGGGTGAGAGCTGTACTATTTCTACCATCCTTAGAACAATTCCTCATTTGCTCGTATGGGTGTGCTGAATGTGCTCTTAGCTTCCTGTTGCTTGGGGGAGTAACAAAGAGAGATGCTACGGTTCAAGTGTTCCTTTCACTTACACAAGCTCTTTACCCTGGATGCACCTTCCTGTTGTTAATTGGCACTCCTCCGTACATCACCTCCTCAAACTCTGGAGGGCTTGGCTACTCTCTGGAAGAAATAAGAAAGAAAAGGATTGAGCTACCAAATCAA